GTTTTCCAACACCTCAATAACTCATCACCTCAAATTGAAAGCAAAATAATAAAACCTCGAGCACCAACTACTCCCCAAATTTAACTTCAAAAGGAAATTTATACTCTACCGACACATTTTCAACTAATCAACACTCTCCAATTTTCATATATTTCGTTTTTTTTTTTTTTTTTTTTTTTTTTTTTTTCTTCTTCTTTTTTTTTTTTTTTTTTTTTTTTTTTTAGAATCTGCAAAAGCTACATCACCCATCAAATTCACATTTCATTGTAATACACATGCTCTATCCATCTTTCTACATAAATGAAACCCCCAAAAGCACAATCCATGTAATACTTTCTCAAAACAATAAAGAATCGATTTTTGTGTATGGGCTCAACTCCAATATTGGAGCAAGGTAAAGAGATGTGGCTAACAAAGAAATGGCTTAGTTAAAGGCTCAACGGGCTACTACGGATAAACATAACATATAAGGTAGGCATGAAAGGCTCAAACGATCCAAAGATGGCCTATATCACTTCCAAGTTATTACATGAATTGATTAATTAATCGAGTAGTATAAAGCAAGTTCTAGAGATACATGTACAGTGAGATCATACGCACAAGAAGGAATGAGATTGATGCATAATGGTTCAATCATGTATAGGCTCAAAAACTCACAAGGTTTACATAATCTCACATGATTCACATATGAAACGCTAAATCATGCTCAAGTTTCACATTGACAAGACTAGACACATTTAATTTTCAAGTTGATTTTTGGAAATCACAGCTAACACAAAGACAACGAAAAGAACTTAGACTTCTTGAAAGTAAGAAGGAAATTAAATCAAATCTCATCATTGAATTGAGAAGTAGCTACAAACAACAATAAAAATGCAAAAACTTTTTTTTTTTTTTTTTTTATTTTTTTTTTTAATAAATAAACTAACGAAATATATATTTCCACCCCCAAACTTAATTATAGCATTGTCCCCAATGATAATGAAAGGAATTTTTTGACAATAAGACATAAAAATGGAAGGAAAGAAATATAAATGAAATAAAGACACAAAAAGAAAAGAAAGAACACACCAATTTGTGTAAGCGAGGAGAGCAGTAGTGTGAGAGATGCTGACACGTCAGGAAAAAGCAGATTCCTCTCCGATTTCCGAGCTTGCCTCTTCGAAATCTGAGCTCTGTCGAGTGCAGAGGTTGCATGTGACGAGTACGGACAAATCTGGAACAAAGGATGACCCGTGGTTTCTGAGCAAGCTCAGCTTTTGAGAAAGCGAACGCCGCTTTGATTTTTTTAGTTGGCCTCTTCGATATCTGGACTTGCCTCTTCGATCTCCGAAACCCCATCGCGTGCTGATTTTTATAGAGGTATGCAGGACGTTCAAAGCACACTTGAATTTCTGCCTTCAAAAACTCCCTCTTTGCACTTCTACGATCTTGACTTGTCCGACCTCTTCTTTCTTTAACACCTCTGAAAAATGTCTGGCCCTTCCGACCGTCGTTTTGACTTGAATCTTGGTGAAGAGGCAGCTCCGCCTTCACCAGATAACATATGGCGCCCATCCTTCATATCCCCTACCGGTCCCCTGTGGGGGATTGGTGGCCCCAGAACCTTGTCACTCCTAGAGATAACAGACTGCTCTCTAGACGATCTGATGAGTTGGCTGTGAAGGAGTCTCTGGCACTTAGCGTGCAGTGTGCGGGTTCTGTGTCTAACATGGCCCAACGCCTCTTTGCTCGAACCCGTCAAGTTGAGTCGTTGGCGGCTGAAGTAATGAGTCTCAAAGAGGGAGATTAGAGGACTCAAGCATGAAAATAAACAATTACACAAGCTTGCACACACAACTATGCCACAACCATGAAGAGGGAAATTGACCAGATAATTGAATCTGATGGTCAGATTTTACTTGATCATCGGAGGTTTGTGGGTTTATTCCAACAGCATCTGCCTTCGTCTTCTGGGGCGGCACCGCGTAGTGAAGCTCCAACTGATCCGAACCTCCTCCTTCTGTGGCCCCGCCGACTGCTGAGGCTCCGCCTACTGAAGCTCCTCCTTCGCAGCCTATGTGAAAGCTTCTCCTTCAAAGTTTTTTTTTTTTTTTTTTTTTTCTGCTCAATGTTCCTTTCCCTTTTTTTTTATGAATGAAGAAAAAAAAATGTTGCAAGAAGTTGTGGTAGATATTGCAAAATCATTACCTGCATAAAGGAATAAAAGTAGGACTTAAACACACAAACCAGAAAACAAGAGAAAAACAGAACAAGAACATTTAAAATTATTCAAAATAAAAATGAAAGATAGAAAGCTTGGGTTGCCTCCCAAGAAGCGCTTTAGTTACTGTCTAGAGCTAGACATTCTGTTGGCAGCTTGATTCAAATAACAGGTTCCTTCAAAGTGATGGAATCCTTAGCAAGATCATATGGAGACTCCTTGTATAACTTCAAGCGATGTCCATTAACTTTGAAGACAAAACCAGTTTGCATGTTTTGGATATCCACAGCCCCATGAAGATGAACCTGTACAACAAGATATGGACCATTCCAACGTGATTTGAGCTTTCCTGGGAATAGTTTTCAATCTTGAATTAAAAAGTAAAACCTTCTGGCCCGGTTGAAACTCTTTACGAAGGATGTGAGCATCATGAAATTTCTTGGTCTTATCCTTGTAAATCCTTGCATTCTCATAAGCATCATTCCTTATTTCTTCCAGTTCATTCAACTGCAGCTTCCGCTTCTCTCCCGCTGCTTGGTAGTCAAAATTGAGATGCTTAATGGCCCAATATGCCTTGTGCTCAAGTTTCCCATAGGCAGATGAAAAAGACATCCCAATTGGTGTCTTATAAGCTATCATATATGCCCACAAAGCATCAGTAAGCTTTAAACTCCAATCATTTCGAGATGAACTAACAGTTTTCTCAAGAATCCTCTTGAGCTCCCGATTAGATACTTCAACTTGTCCAGATGTCTGTGGATGGTATGGAGTGGCTATGCGATGGTGAATATGATACTTGGCACAAAGGGTAGCCATGGTGCGGTTTAAGAAATGCGTACCTTCGTCACTGATGATAGCACGAGGTACTCTCCAAATCGGGGAAAAATAGTATTCTGCAAGAAACCTAACACCACAGAACTTTGCATGTTTGGAGAAGCTATTGCCTCCACCCACTTAGAAACATAATCAACCGCCACCAAGATGTAGAGATTGCCATGTGAAGAAGGGAAAGGTCCCATGAAGTCTATACCCCAAACATCAAATAATTCAATCACCAAAATACTTTGTTGGGGCATCTCATTTCTTTGAGAAAGATTTCCAACTCGTTGACACTTATCACAAGCCTGGCAGCATAGGTATGCATCTTTGAATAACGATGGCCAAAAGAAACCACTGTAAGATCTTGGCCGCTGTCCTTCTCGGTCCAAAATGACCACCACATGCATAGTGGTGAGCAAACTTCAAAATTCTTTCTTGTTCTTCAAAGGGGACACACCGACGAATAATTTGATCTTGGCAATGCTTGAAAAGGTATGGCTCATCCCAAAAGTAGTGTTTTACAGTGGAGAGGAACTTTTTCCTTTGTTGGTAACTGAACTCTGATGGTATTTCTCCAGATGCCAAATAATTTGCGATGTCAGCATACCATGGTACTTGATGAGTAACCGCTAGAAGTTGCTCGTCTGGAAAGCTCTCTTGCAGGGGCAATGAATCTGCCTCATCAGTGCTTGCATTTACTAATCTTGAGAGATGATCTGCCACAACATTCTCACGTCCCTTTTTATCTAGGATCTCCAAATCAAACTCTTGCAAGAGAAGGACCCATCGAAGCAATCGTGGTTTGGCCTCTTTTTTAGACAATAAGTACTTGAGAGCAGAATGATCAGAATACACAATGACCTTAGCACCAACTAAGTACGATCGAAACTTTTCAAGAGCAAATACCACTGCAAGTAATTCTTTTTCTGTAGTGGCATAATTCAGCTGAGCATCATTCAAAGTGCGGCTGGCATAATATATAACATGGGGGAGCTTGTCACGTCGCTGACCAAGAACAGCACCCACAGCGTATCGGAAGCATCGCACATGAGCTCAAAAGGAAGGGTCCAATCTGGAGCTGTTATAATTGGGGCTGATGTAAGAAGATCCTTCAATTTGTTGAAAGCATCATGACAATCTGCATTAAAATCAAAACAAGCATCTTTAGCAAGTAAATTACAAAGAGGACGACTAATTTTGGAAAAAATCCTTGATGAATCTTCGATAAAAACCAGCATGTCCCAAGAAAGATCTCACATTCTTCACAGAAGTTGGTGGTGGTAATTTGACGATCACCTCAAATCTTTGCCTTGTCGACCTCTATTCCTTTGCTTGAAATTAGATGTCCTAGCACAATGCCATGCTTAACCATAAAATGGCATTTCTCCCAATTTAACACAAGATTAGTCTCCCTGCATCTTTCCAAAACCAAAGACAAGTTATCCAAACATATATCAAAAGAATTACCAAAAACAAAAAAGTCATCCATAAAAACCTCAACAATATTTTCAACCATTCCAGAAAAAATACTCATCATGCATCGTTGGAAAGTGGCAGGGGCATTGCACAATCCAAATGGCATTCGTCTGTATGCAAATGTACCAAAAGGGCATGTAAATGTTGTCTTCTCTTGATCCTCAGGGGCAATTGGAATTTGGTTGTACCCTGAATACCCATCTAAGAAACAATAGAAAGAATGACCAGCTAGTCTCTCGAGCATCTGATCAATGAATGGCAGCGGAAAAATGATCCTTTCTAGTGCTGTTATTGGGCTTTCTATAGTCAACACACATTCGCCATCCGATGGTCATCCTTGTAGGCACAAGCTCGTTGTTATCATTCTTCACCACAGTAATACCAGTTTTCTTTGGAACCACCTGAGTCGGGCTCACCCATTTGCTATCCGAGATTGGATAAATGATACCTGCATCGAGTAACTTCATCACCTCAACTCTTACGACTTCCTTCATGATCGGATTTAGACGTCTTTGAGCTTCAACAGTTGGTTTAGTCCCAGCCTCCATAAAAATCCTATGCATGCACAAAGCTGGACTAATGCCTTTTCAGCAAGTGTCCACCCCAGAGCATCTTGATACTTGCGAAGAACTCTTAGTAATTTGTCTTCCTCCGTGTCATTAAGATTAGCAGCAATAATAACAGGTAAGGTCTCATTCACCCCGAGATGAGCATACTTGAGGTGGCTCGGCAGTAGCTTGAGCTCTAACTTCGGAGCTTGCTCACTTGAAGGAAGAAGGGGCTGCTTAGGTTCTCCAAGGCTTTCATAAACATGTCGCCACTTTGGATTATGAATTGGTGCACTATCCAATGCAACGATGACGTCCACCACATTTTCTTCCATAGATAAAGTAGCATCATGGTTGGTGAGGCAAGTTAACAACTCATCATTAGATGATCGTGAGGCAAAGTTTGCATGCACAATCCCATCCAAAACATCAACACGAAAACACTCTTCAGGTTCGAAAGGACGCTTGACAGCTTCAAAAAGTTTGAATACAACTGACTCTCCTTGCACTCTTAAGGTTAAAGTACCTGCTTCCACATCAATAAGTGTCCGGGCGGTGGCCATGAATGGTCGGCCTAAAATGAGAGGCACTTCCTTGTCTTCCTCCATGTCAAGTACAATGAAATCAGCTGGGAGATAGAATTTGTCCACTTTAATAATCACATCTTCCAGAATACCCAAAGGATAGGTCACGGACCTATCTGCCAATTGAAGACTCACAGATGTGGGCTTGAGTTCTCCTTCACCTAATTTTTGAAAAACAGAATAAGGCATAAGGTTAACACTTGCTCCTAAATCAATCAATACTTTATGAAAATCAAGACTACCAATAGTACAAGAGATAGTGAAACTCCCCAGATCTTTCTTCTTGGGTGGTAGCTTATGTAAGAGGACAGCACTGCATTGCTCAGATAAAATCACCTTCTCGTATTCCAAGAACTTTTTCTTTTTAGAACATAGCTCCTTCAGAAATTTGGCATATGATGGGATCTGTTTAATAGCATCTAATAGAGGCAAATTAATTTGAACCTTAGCCAACGTCTTCATGAATTCAATGCATTGTTGATCCTTAGAACGTTGTTGCTGTCTTTGTGGAAATGGCAAAGGTGGCTTGTATGGTGGCTTGTCAGAAGGTGCAAATAAACTACCAAGGCCTCTTTCCTTGTTTGAATCAGAGTTGCATCGAGATTGCACATTGTCACTTGCACTAGGATCTGGAATACTTGCTTCAGAAATAGCCTCTGACCGAGACTTTGCAGCTAATGGTGCACTTTCAGTAAGCTCTTCTTCTTCCACTTCGGCTTCATGGTGCTCCACTTCTCTGTTGTCATAGCTCTTGCCACTTTTCAATGTCCGTATTACTTTGCAATGCTCCATCCCTCTTGGATTTTGCTCAGATTGGCTTGGAAACTTTCCTTTCTCTCTTTCATTGAACATGGTAGCAAGCTGTCCAACTTGAGTCTCCAAATTCCCCACTGATGCCGTGAGATTCTGAATGCTAGTTTGTGTGGATTGGACAAAACTGTTGGTGCTAGTAGAGAGAGCGGACATATGTTGAGCTAGCTGTGACATTTGGTCTTCAAGAGAGATGGTTTCTTAGTCTCACTAGTTGATTGGTAAGACTGTTGGTATTGACGTGGCTGTTTGGTTGCCACCCCAAACTGAGATTGGGATGGTTCTTCCACCCAGGATTATATGTATTGGAATAAGGGTCACTTCTGGGTCTAGTGAAATTATTCACCATATTCACATGCTCTTGTACAAGCTCAGGATAGCTATCTTTGTTGGGGCATTGAGTGATGTCATGAGTTGTTGCACTACAAATGATGCACGCTTCTTGGGCATTGGGCATGGAAGAGACCTGCATTAAGGCAGCAAATTTGGCATTAAAATTATTTTCCATTTTAGCAATTTGAGCAGAAACATTAGGATAACTATGAGAAATCTCAAAAACTCCCCTCTTTTGTGTTTGTTCTTCTGTCCATTGTTGGGATTCAGAAGCCATCATATCAAACAACTCAAATGCTTCCCTTGCTGATTTTGACATTAATGACCCTTCAGCAGATGCATTCACGTGACTCTTGGTGGTGGCATTGAGACCATCATAAAATATGTTCATTTGAAGGTTAGAATCAAACCCAGCATGAGGACATTTTGTGTACATCTCATTATACCGTTCCCAAGCTTCATGGAAAGACTCGTTCGGCTTTTGAGCGAAAGCCAATATCTCTTTCTTGAGTGCAAGAGTCTTGGATGAAGGAAAAAACTTATTGAGAAATCTTTCTTGCAATTCTGCCCATGTTGTAATGCTATTGGCAGGCAGAGAATGCAGCCATGCCTTGGCTTTGTCCTTCAAAGAGAACGGGAACAAACGTAACTTGATAGCTTCAGAAGAGAAACCTCTGATTATGGTGTTGTCACATGCCTCAATAAAATCAACCAAATGCATGTTGGGATCACTGTTTGGCAACCCATGAAAGGAGGGCAATATGTTGAGGATGTGAGGTTTGATTTCAAAGGATGTCCCATTTTCCACATCTGGATATATAATGCACCTCGGCACTGCATTGATTCTCGCCGCCAATGAATTCCTTAAAGGTTGACCTGCTGCAGGTAAGGCTAGGGCCATGTGTGCAACTGGTATCAAAGGTTGGAAAATAGATGTGCCGCTCTCAGGATCACAGAACAAATCCTTAAGAAAAGTATCACCAAGGTTGGAATCTTGTGCTAAATATTTTTCTCTAGCTAACTTCCTTGCACTTCTCTCTGGTTCAGGGTCATAAGGAATAAGCACTTGATTCTTGGACCTTGTTCCAATCACCATATACTACACCTGAACAAACAATAGAAATATTAAGCCACAATAAAAAATAAAGTAAAATAAAATAAAACTTAACAGAAACTAACTAAACAACAAAAACAAAAAGAAAAAGAAAGTAAGTAAACCTAGATGAATTAAAAACACAAATTATGCAAATTGGCAACCACTAGTTAATTAAACGAAAACAAAAATCTCACACCACACATCCACTACACTTAATAAAAGATCAAAACTCACTAAATTAATAGCTGTTTTTTTTTTTTTTTTAATTTAAAAAAAAAAAATTTTAACTTTAATATAATAATTTTTTTTTTTTTTAATAATATGTGATTTAAAACAGAAATTTGTGAAAGGGATACATAAACAGATTTCTAACGCAAATATACAACATTATTACGGTACCAAAGTTAATCAAGAAGGATTCTTTAAATAATTTTTTTTTTTTTAAATTAATTTTTTTTAATGATTAATAAAAATAAGACATAAACATAAGTATAAGAAAAATAAACACAAAAACTCGGGAACTGTTGGCATAGTCCCCGGCAACGGCGCCAATTTCTTAATAGCGATTTTACCACTTGTAAAACAAAGGGTTAAACCATAGAAAATTCTTGCAAGAGAACAAGTGTTGTAGTATAGAATGGCTCAAGCAAGGTCGATCTCCTCAGGGACTGATATAAACAATTTACGAGTTTTTGTGTATTTAACTTATTTAACTCTAAGAATTACACTAATTTGACGAAACTAAATATTACTGGGTGTGACTTAACAAATATCTAAAATGGAAATTGGTTTATAAGAATAATGATTCAACTTAAACAAAACAAGTAAATAAGGAAATTTAAGATAAATAAATGACTGAAGAAAAACAAATTGACAATATGCTAGAGTTCAACCTTTACCAACAACACTTCTACGTAGCTATTCTAATTGCTTAAATAATTGAAAACACACATGCTTTGAAGGTTGGATTTTCCTTGTGTATATTTTACTTGTGACATTCAAGCTAAAACGCATACCACTACATGCAACTTATCCATGACATTTGGATTAAATATAAACATGAGTGATTCATTAATCTTGATGAAAATCCTTTTGTTAAACCATATAATCCCTAAGAGCATGATATTTACCTTAGGAGAGTACAATTCTCAATCACAAGAAGCACAACCAATTTTAACGTGACATTCGTTCAAAATTGCATCCGATAACTTTTCTAAGCATCCTAATGGTGATCAATCATCAAGACATATAGATAGTTTAATTCAGTGATTGAAAATATCAAAACAAGCATGTAACAACACTTAAGCAATTGAAAAATAAATCTACGTATTCATGTTGCGGCTCATGGCCTCACTCTAGCATAATAAATTAGTTACACATAATTATTTTGATACATAAGAAATTATTCATAACAGAAAATAAATAATTAAGAAAGAAGACACCCGTTTCTTTTCTCCCGTCGCAAGTCTAAGTGAAATTTTCCGTGTGCACTGCCTTTGCTGCCTCTGCTGCGTCAGTCTGCTTTCTGCTGTCCTCTCTCTTCCGTCTCACCCCTGCTCTCCCTGCGCCAGTCCCCCCTTTTTCCCTCTGTCCTCCTCCGTTTCTCGTCTGTCAATCTCCCTGCGCCTATTCGTTTTTCTGCCTTTCTCCGAGCCGCCTCCTTTTACTTCTGTCCACCTCTCTCTATCTTATATTTTCTTTTTGCGTTTTCTGTCAGTGCTTGCTCCCACTCCTTATACTTTTATTATTCTTTTCTGCTGTGCTCTCTGCTTTCTGCCTTCCACTCCCTCTTATTCTTCTATTTTTCTTCACTCCCTCTCCTGCTTTTCGTTCCACTTCCATCTTCTTATATATATATTTTTTTTTTCTCTTTTTCTTCCTGCCAGTGCTGCACTCCCCTTTGCTTATTTTATTTCTTTTGTTTTCTTTTTTTTTTTATTTCTTTGATCCTAAAACAAAATTAACTGCACATTAACACAAAATAAGATAAAATGCTACAATTTTAACACAAAAACATCACAAAGACTTTAGAAATGAATGGTATAAATGCATGAAATATATGAGTGATCACTTGTCAACAAAATACAACCTCTTACAATCGTGGGAATAGCAATCGTATGGGGTCTTGTTTTTATGGCCGCAGCATATGCAGTTGGGCATGTCTCTGGTGCACATTTCAATCCTGCAGTTACTATTGCCTTGGCTGCTGGCCGCATATTTCCAGTCAAACATGTGAGACACAATTGAACACCTTCCTATATTTGTTCCAAGGAAAGTTTGAGGGCTTCTTCATTGAAATAACTTCTTTACATAAAGTTATAAAAGTTTAATGACTTTATTCTCTTATAAAATTAGAAAACTAGCTTATTTAAGACTTAAAAAACTAGGATGGGGCAAGCGATGGGTTCAATGATGGTTATGGTCTTTTCAACCCACTGTATCTCAAGTTCAAACATTTTTCATTCTCTTAGTGTAGATTAGTGTATAATATCACCTGTAATGAAAAAAAAGACTAAAATGGGGTAAGGAGAGGGTCGATATGAGAGTTGAGTTCTCGTATCCTATCTTAACGTATAGTTTCAAATTTTGGTTTTTCAAAAGAATCTTTTAGCTAACGAATTGGATTAGTTTTTTTAATATAAATGATCCACCACAAAACATGGGTAGTGATTTTCACTTTCAGTTTAGCATGAGTATAAAAACAATGAAATTATTAATTTGGAGTACAACAAAAGCTAAATTATGAGTGTCGAAGTCGCTTCCTGAAAGCATCAAGACAAAAACTCTACGAAGTGAGTATAAATTAAAACATAAAATTAAAGAATTACTACTTTCCAAGTGTCTTTAAAACATTTTCAATTATAACTTGCTAAAAAATGCTTCGTAAATGTTGTCGTGGTATAGGTACCTATGTATGTGACACTAGTAGAAAAAACACTTTGCGCGACGAAAACTTGCGTGACGCAGTCAAATTCGTCGCCCAAAGTACGTTTGCGCGACGTTAAACACAAAGCGTCGCGCATCAAGATAAAAACTCTACGAAGTGAGTATAAATTAAAACATAAAATTAAAGAATTACTACTTTCCAAGTGTCTTTAAAACATTTTCAATTATAACTTGCTAAAAAATGCTTCGTAAATGTTGTCGTGGTATAGGTACCTATGTATGTGATGATGTCACAATTCTCTGGTGCAACATTAGCAAGCCTGACCCTCAGGCTGTTATTTAACGACCAAGACCGTATTCAAGCTACCATGACTCAGTTCTCTGATCCAACAACTTACCTGCAAGCCCTCACTTGGGAATTCGTTATCACGTTTATACTGATGTTCACCATTTGTGGTGTTGTCACTGATGACAGAGCGGTACCATCCTCTACTTTTCTCAGTCTCTTTCTTGGTTCGGTTAGGGTTTTAGTACTATTTTATTAGCGGCTACATCAAAACTGAGTATGTGTACGTAGTGCAGAAGGCTAAAAAAAAGAGTGTTAAATTGTTTTTTCGTTGACAAAGCACTAACCCTATGCTTGACTGACAAAATTAGGACCAAAATCTCTCTGGAATTGCAATAGGTGGTGCGTTTGTGGTGAATGTCATGATTGCTGGGTAATAACTCCTCACTAGTAATCTAAAAATCCTGTTTATTACCATCTGCATTCATGAAAAATACCCTTTTCTTATTTATTGGATTTTACAGGCCAATCACTGGAGCTTCCATGAATCCTGCAAGGAGTTTGGGACCAGCTATCGTCACCGGAGTTTACAAGAACATTTGGGTTTATATTGCAGCCCCTATTCTTGGAGCCATTGCTGCTACTATGGTGTACAGTGTGCTCAGGGTACCTAAGCTGGTAAAATCTGATGAAAAGGCTGATCCAGTAAGATCACAAGTCTGAATTGTTCAATAGGACTAGAATTGGCTGTACACAAAATGTCACGAAAAGCACTTCGATCACTCCTGTCGTGCCAAGTAAAATAAACAAAATAAAATTAACAATAAAATTATTTCTTATTTATCCCTCTTTCAACGAAAAACCAATTGTAGCATGTAGGGTTTTTGTCATTTGCTTATTTATTTCTTTTAGAGAAAAAAATTCATTAGAAATAGTAAAAAAATATATATGACATACATATTAAACGTGTCTTTTAGAACAACTCAAGAGACTACAATGTAGTAAGAATCACAACCCTACAATTACAAACACATCAAAAATACAATACAATTCTTCAAACACGGAGGAACCTTAGTCCTAAACCCTAGTCACGAGGACTAAAACATTGCAAGCCTAAGAACTATCATAGAGGCTCCACGAGAAAAAGACCGTACAAATCCTGGATGATTTTGCAATCGTTGGCAAATAAGCCCTGCTATGTGTCCCCTCCAACAAACAACAAACATCACCACTTCAAATCTGAACAACAATCGCCACTCTAGAATCCGAGATAGAACAAATCACGACCATGACCACAATTAGAAAAGCTCTTATCGATCAAGTGAGAGAGCGACCACAATCACGAACTAAATACTCTCTTCACAAAACAAGAGAACGACTAGAACTAGAAACAAAGAGAAAATAAAAAAGAAAGAGATCAAGAAGAACTGCTGCCGACCCCAAAATCAAAACAAGAGTCGGCAGCTAGACATTCTTTCTCTTACTTTTCTGTAGCCGCAAAAGCCTTTTGTAGAGTAATACTCCAACTAATTGTGCTCCAGTACAAGAATTGTAAATGGGGTGCAGCATCTAATCTAATCTATTAATAAAATTATCTCCTTCCTATAAAATAAAGAGACAACGATTTCAAAGCATCTTCTTCACCATATTATTCCGGGGAGCAAATTTTGTTGTGAATGCGTTGGCGGCAGTGGGATATTCCTCCGAGCTCGGATCCTTCTTTTTGACTTAATATTTTGCCTAGTGAAGCCGAAGCGGTGTGGTTTTGGGAATTTCACTAATCTGTTTTAGGAGCTTTTCGTTGTAATCTTTTATTTTGGTTTTAAGGAAATTAAAAACTTAAGAGATAACATATAAGAAATTCATGGCCATTACCTTTTATTTCTCAAGAGTAATAAATAGGGTACTTTAGATATTGTTCCTAACAAATCATGATTTCCAAATATAAACCTACATATAATTAAACATCAAACAAAAACCCAAAAATCAAATAAACTGCCACACAAGGATATAAGTAACCTACTATTACAAATTATTTACAATTTTTGCCACAACCCTTTTATATTGTTTCTCACACTTAAATTTTAGCTTCAATCAAGGGCCTTAAAATCTGATTAATCATCCTGACGTTTTTTTTTTTTTTTAAGTTATACAACAATCTAGTGCATTACCTTAAATCACGACTACATTATTATTCAGGGTAAATTATTCTCCTTATATAATGGTAAAACGTCTCTACTAATTTACCTATATAAATAATATTGCCCTATAGTAGGTAATTTACCTAAAGTATATACACAAAATATTCTCATATTTCTTTTGGCAATTTACCTATGATATATGCAATTTATCTATGATATATGCAAATAGTATTCTCATACTTTGTTTGTATTTTACCTATAATGCAAGTAGGTAAATTAACAGAGAGTAGGTAAATTATGTACGTGATGCCAATTTACCTACATTTTTTATGTGAACCAAATACTCTAGAGTGTATATATAAATAATTTACCTATAGTTGGTTCTTCTCTTGAACCAACAAATCAGTAAATGTTTGCCGATTCAAAATTGATTATCAAATTGATATTAACGGATCCAAACCAACAAATCCCTACATTTATATGTAAAATATTTTTTTTGTAAAATCATTAATTCCCCTTTACAATTTGCATAGAATTAATTGTGTACATTAAATATTTAAATAAGGGTATTTTAGGTATCCGAAAAATTTTAAATGGGTAAAGTCAAACATAATTAATGAATTTGCATGGAATCTAATCAATGAGTTTTATTTGAGCAAAAAAACATATGCAGATTTTATGTGAAGAAAATTGAATTTCATAAGTTAAAATCATATTTCCAGTGATAAATTTCTGTTGACTTCTGAATCTTGCACTTTTCCTATTAAGAAAACTGAGAGAAAAAGGCACAGAAAATACAATATTTTGATAGGCTTTATGCCTAAAAGGCTAGAGATTTTTTATAGGCTTTATATAGTAACCATACATCATTATATAAATGATTAAATACTTTTGTCAAAATTAACAATTAAAAGATCAATTTTTCCACCGTTTATATAATACCATGTGATGTATCATCGTGTTCCAGAAACAATGAAAAATTTCTCAAAAAAGATAGCATATATAATCTCTATGTAAACACGAATTCCCTGCGACAAATAAGACAAGAACACATGTACAAAATAAATTTTATTAATGAATTTGAAAGGTTACAATCTATGTTTACAAGTTTTCTCTGATTCGATCTCCGAAAGATGTGTAGATGTGTAGGTTGTTGATCCAAGGGTCGCAATGACTTGATCTCATATGAATGGTTGCCATGAGGTTTTGGCTCTTGGCGATTTGAAAGATCAACAATGGTAGTAATGCTTGATGATTCATCGAAGGTTTGGTGGAGAACGCAGAGAGCTTTCTAAATTCTTCATAGTGTTTTGAGGGTTTGGGTGCTTGAGCTTTGGCAACATCTGGGTGCTTGAATGATTTCTGAATCATTTTCTTTGTCTTTGAGCCTCCTATTTATAGACTCTCTAAGCCTTGACTACATATGAATTTGGCTTTGATTGTGGGCTTGATGAATTGACGAAAGAACTAGAGTGAGCCGGTTTGTGATTTTACTCCATCAATTAAAATTTGATTTAATTAAATGAAAATCAAATAATTCCTTTTTGCCAAGTGTTGACACTTGTCCTTCTTGATGACTCGTACGATTTTAATGAGTCATATCCACGTGTACAATTTGTGAGACACATGGCGCATGCCACATATGCTATCATATGTCGAAACTTTAATGTATTAATAAACATTTATTTCACCAAAATTTCAATGTTGATACTTTACTATGAGCATCTTATTATTTGTCCTTTTTATGGGTGAGGTAATGTCTTTTCTCCCCACTTTTTTTTACATTTCAGTCCGAAGAAGATGCGATAAAGCTAACATAAATTGTATAAATATTATTTGTCCAACTCACAACCAATAAAATTATATCATTCTTACAAAGTCATAGATTATTCGGTAGTTAGAGTCTTTTCTTCAACTAGAAATTAAAATTTGTGAAAGTTCTGCATGTGACAGTTGGTCCTTATATCATAAATTATAGGTCGAATATGTTGATTTTGATTTAATGAGGGTTGAGGAAGAATTGAACTTTTTGCCGTCGATGCCAAGGATTACGTGTTGCATCGCTGAAGTTAAGAAGTTTTCACTTAAATCTGTCATATTGTTAAGTTTTATATTTAGTACTAAAGCATTTTCAAATATGAGACCATATTTTAGGATCTCCATCCCCGTCCTCCGGTCAGGGGACTTACAGAAATCTGTGTTCTTAGAGAAATATTACCTCCAGTAGGAGAGCCACATTCGAGTCCCTATCTTAACATATCTGTGAAGATTTCCACCAAAAGAAGAATTCAAATTCCGACACTAATTATTTTGCTTAATAGGAACGAGTACAATTTGTTCTTTATTTTTGGATAGACCTATCCACACACTGCTTTGTACCTTCCGCACACCTCTCAATTCCCTGCCATCGAATCGAGTAAATTGAAGTTAATCAAACGATAAAAATTAATAAACGCGTCTTGAAAGGTGAAAAAAAGTGTGGATAGCACCACTTTTTTTTCTTCTTCTAGTTCATCTCCTTCACATCCAAATTGCATTAGGATTGTAAGACAATAAGCAGATAACTGTGCTGCAAAATCCAAATTAACAGACCAGTAAAACTTCAAACCTACAAGAAGAGGTAAGTGTGGATATATAGAATATGTTACAAGCATCTGTTACCAATAGAATGAGAGAAAGAACCCTGAGCATGTTCAAAGACTACATATCTTATTTCACTCGCTTCCTTTATAAATACAACATTGCTTTACACCAGAGCTACATTATGGTGGAACCAATAATAAAAAAAAAGGATAGCTAATAAGTTGCCTGTATTAATTAGAAGATATCACACAGGAGATCTGTTGTTGAGGGCACTCGTGGCGGATAAAGGGTCGGAAGTTCAATGTGGACGGCAAGTTCCCCTACCCGAATGCATTAGATGGCGTGCATCATTACGCCTCACAGCACTCTTTTCGTTTTTCCTACTTGCATCTATATGTTTCACCTGTAAAAGAAACAATGAAGAAAAAAATGAGACTGCCTGTGTGTGAATGTAAAGATGAACTCTATCTCAAACAAACTGGCATTCACTCATTGCTTTGTGAACATATCATTTCAGAGCTTAGAAGCTTGAGAAATTTTAGTAATGCATACAAGACCAGAAGATCGATTCCATTTGTTGATACGTCTAAAAGCTCTTAACTGCTAAGGCAAGATGCAGTTTCAAAATTGTTTGTTTAAACAAAGAACCCAACAAACTGTTTATTTCAGTCGTAGTCTCATTGTGGATATTAAGAGGTCGCACTTGGTGCGATGGCAAGTGCCTTCGCCCATGAGCGGTAGGTCTCGGATTCGAGACTTGGGAGCAGCCTCTCCATAAATAGGGGTAAGGCTAGCCGACATTCACCTCTCCCAGACCCTGCGTAAAGCGGGAGCCTTGTGCACTGGGTACGACCTTTTTTTAGTCTCATTGTGGATATTGGTGAATCGTTCAAGAATTCTTACCCCGTTTGAGATAGCCGCCTCCAATTCATTATTTGGTGAGACTGAGGATGTCTCTGCAAGTACGAACTTGTTCCAATGCTATTGTCTTCACTCCCAAACTGCTCTGAGTAGCTAGAACTTGAAGGAGACCAAACTGGAACTACACCTCCATCC